CCCAAGGGTTCGGTTGTTCGCCGATGAAAGTGGTACGTGAGTTGGGTTTAGAACGTCGTGAGACAGTTCGGTTCCTATCTACCGTTGGTGTTAAAGGGAGAACTGCGAGGAGCCAGCCCTAGTACGAGAGGACTGGGCTGGGTCAACCTATGGTGTACCGGTTGTTATGCCAATAGCAGCGCCGGGCAGCTAAGTTGGTATGGAAGAACTGCTGCGCCGCGGGAAATCCTTCTCTATACAAGTTCTCGTACAAGGTTTTTGAACAGAACTTCGATAGGCGAGAGGTGTAAGCACCGCGAGGTGTGAAGCGATCTCGTATTAAACGAATGGAAATTGACAACAATAAAAAAAACATAACTTAGAAAGAGAGGTTCTGAAAGGTAAAAGGACTGGAAATCCTAAAAAAGCGCCCTTTGACTCGAAATCAAATTTGTGCTAGTGGTTCGAATCCACAACAGAACAATGAATGAACATCAAAAGTGGGAAGTTGATTGTAGGATTTCTATTCCTCACTCTCGTATAGGTGAACTTGGTTCGTTCAATGAAAAGGGATAAGAAGGATCCACTGGGAATGAATGGGAAGACTGGGGTAGTATCTTCATTAGCCGGAAGGAATTAGTCTCCACTAGCGTGATTCGAAGAACGAACAAGAAAAGGCGTCCTAAGTAATCAATGAGATTTTCTTCCTCGAAAACAAAAAGCTACACGAGGAGAGCCTTGTTTACTGATATGTTACTAAAAGACCAGAGGTGATGGCCTCTGAATTGCAGGGTATGGAAAGTGGGTGTTAATCAACAAGATTATCTACATTTGCGGAAACCACTACTGGAATAAAGTTAGATCTTTATTTCATTTCAAGGAAAAGTTTCAGGGTTTAGCCACCACTCAGACAGTAGTGAAAAATAAAACTAACTCTAGGCGAAAGTGCACGGAGGATCTGTGATTCCTCCTACCTTATGAGCCCTTACGAAATGCCATTTTGAATGATGGACAAATCATGGGTGTCGGCGGTCTAGTCAGAGCATTTTGGAGCGCCTGAGCGGGCAAAGTAGGTTGACCCGTCCCGAGGGGGAGGGAACAAACGGGCAATTGAACACCATAGGGCACAAACGAATCGCCAGTAACGACCTGTATATATCAGGCAAGAGGTGCTACTCCGACCCGGAATCCTGCGTGATGGTTGGTCACCTTACCAATAATCTTCTTAATGTTGGAGAAAATGAGGATCATTGACTTAAATTGGAATTGATACCTAGACTACTTGGTTCTAGCTTGCCACCCCAGAAGGCAACGTATACACAAGTATAGACTATAGGTAAAGATTCCCAAATAGGTCAACCTTTTAAACTGCCTGCGGAATCCATGAGCAGGCAAGAGACAACCTGGCGAACTGAAACATCTTAGTAGCCAGAGGAAAAGAAAGCAAGAGCGATTCCCGTAGTAGCGCCGATCGGTATTCTATATCAGCGGACCCAACCCTCCCTTGCATCTAAGGCACATTTCATCTCTGGGCCCACCCCCAACAGATACCGGTATCAGGCGATGGCGCGGCTTTGCTAGATCCGTTACTCTAAATATTCCATCCAGTCTGATCTTGAACAATTCTGTGCTGGCCATCTTCTGTAGCCAGAATATTTTCCTAGATATGCACGAGTGTGTGTACCATATACTCCCTCGGTAACTAAATATAAGACGTTTTTGCAGTTCAATTCAATTGCACTGCAAAAACGTCTTATATTAACTTGATGAACCATAGAAAATCAGTCTGATACATTTGTTTATTACAATCACGGTGTCTTCTTGAACAGTCACAGCTAGCGTCACACTTTTTCTCCCCAACCAAACACTACCACTACAATTCCTCCCAGTCCGCTGCAGCAGCCGCACCACGAAGAACCCTAACCTCCAGCCCCCTACCCACACACATTGCATCGAGCAAATCGGAGGACAAGAGGGCATGGGAGACGAGGGGGAGGACGAGGAGCTCACTGTGCCGTCGTGGTCTCCGAGGATGGCGTCGTTGGCGAGATGGCCGACCGTCATCTCCGCCGCCCTGAAGACGATCTCACCGGCCACCGCTTCTCCCGCTCCGCTCCTCCTCGGTTTCGGTTTCGCGATCAGGGAGCGCGGCCGCGGCGCAGTGGCACTCGGTGTCCCGTCCAGCGGAAAGCCTCTATCAGAATGACCAGCGGGCCCAGCCTGCCAGGGACACGCGGATCCGTCCGCTCCGATCCCACGCGCGACGGCGTCCATCGCGAGTGCGTGGGGCCCACCTGTCAGCCGAGCCCTACCATTCTCCTCATTCCCCTTCCGCTTCTCCTCCTGTCCCGATCTCTCCCTCTCTCGCTCGCTCGCTCGTTCGAGGCTCGGCCATGGCGGACTACCACTTCGTGTACAAGGACGTGGAGGGGGCGACCACGCAGTGGGACGACATCCAGCGCAAGCTCGGGAACCTGCCCGAGAAGCCGGCGCCCTTCAAGCCGCCGCCCTTCGCCCCCAGGGCCGACGCCGACGAGCAGCCCAGGTCCAAGGAGTGGCTCGACGCGCGCGACCCCGACGAGCTCGAGGAGCTCGAGGACGACCTCGACGATGACCGCTTCCTCGAGCAGTACAGGTGCGCCCCCTCTCTGCCCCCCGGCCTCGATCCGGTCTCCCGCACGTCTGGTGATCCATGAGATGTGTTCTACTAGTGCTTTTCGTGGTTGATTTGACCCGAATTACACGGTAGGATTGTGGTAATTCGTGTGATTTCCATAGAAATCTGGTGTGTTCCGGTTGTTTTTTATCTAGACTCGGAGCAGTACTGTACAATTTCAATTGTTTTGGTACCATGCCACTTTGTGAGAAGTGTCATTCTGATCCATGTAGCCAAAAATCCATGTCCACCAATTGTCTGATGATTTGATGTTGTGGTGTGCTTACAGGAGGATGAGGCTTGCAGAGTTCAAGGAGGCAGCAAAAACTGCCAGATTTGGCACAATACAACCCATCACAGGCTCTGATTTTGTGCGTGAGGTTTCGCAGGCTCCACCGGATGTCTGGGTTGTGGTCTTCCTCTACAAGGATGCGTAAGGCGAAATTCGTCCTATTTACAATATGATGCGCTTCTTGTGTCAGAAACTACACCAAGAAACAGCTAAAAAATTTATGGGCGTGTAGAACTTTACTCGTGACTTACTATCTAACTATACTTATTTGGTCGCGTTGATTAGAAGTAGGAAATATAACTATGGCAGCTTGAAAATGAGTACTATCCACTATGGTTCTTGGAATTTTTTATCCAGAGATTTAATTGTGTTCAAACAGTGTTCTGGCAAAAAGGAAAAAAATCCACTACCATGTCGAACAAGATAACTTAGCTTAGCAAACCACACCACACCAAGATATTTTTCCTCTTCTCTTCTACTTCGATTTACTCCACATGCTCTCACTTTTCATAATTCCTTTACTCGTATTTTGATTTATACTCATTCTGACTGGAAACTGTAGGATTTTAGGCCATTATGCCCTGTGCTTCTATGAGACATTTGCAGTGCTTCTGTTTTATATACTGTTTAACTGCTTCCCAAAGGTGCTCATAATGCAGAAATGACTTTAGGAAGAAATTCTATCTCGATCTGTTCATTGTCTGAGACTTCTATGGATCTTATCGCAGGATACCAGAATGTGGGCTGCTTGAGACTTGCCTGGAGGAACTGGCGACAAAATATGCAGAAACCAAGTTCGTTAAAATTATTTCCACGGACTGTATTCCCAACTACCCAGATAGGAATGTCCCTACAATACTGGTGTACAACAACAGTGCTGTCAAAGGGACTTATGTTGGTCTACAGAAGTTCGGTGGAAAGAAATGCACACCTGAATGTAAGTTGTACCACACAATCAGTTTCCATTATCTCAGTTCAAGTTTTCTTTTGTGTGGTTAGTTCAAGTTACTCTTCTTTATTTAGTTGGTTGGACAAAAATATTGCCAGTACACACCAGTGAACAGTGTGTATGTGTGTGACTATCTTAAAGTTGCAATTAGCCAGTCGCAGGATACAATTCACAATTTCTGTGGATATTACAATCTAGACGGCTTAACGTGACTATAATCTTTGACCTTAGGATGAGGTTTTTTCCTTTCGTACTAAGAGGAAAACATGTTCATTACGACAGGCATGTCTATGGTGGATATATGGTCCTGGTGTATGTTTGCCTTGCATCATCTGACAAACAGAAAAAAAAATCGAGGGAACAAATTTTAGATGAGTGCCTAACACAGTGGCATGCCTAGTTCACAGTTATGCTGCTGTTACCATTAAAATCGAATACGTCGTGTGAATTAGAAACGACAACGGATTTTTCTTGATCATGTAAATTACACCGACTGATGTGAGCACACGGAATCTTTAAGTGTCATGCACGGTCTTCCACTCTTTATGCTAAACTTTCATTCTGTTTATTTCAGCTGTTGCATTGGCGCTTTGCCACTCAGACCCAGTACTGAATGATGGACAAGGTGGTAACAATGTCATGGAAGGCGTTCGCAGGAAGTTCATAGAAAAGGTTGTCTCCCAGCTTGAAACGCGAGAAGACGAAGATGATAGCGACTAAAATTTACACCTTTCTGCTAGTTTTGTTTTGGTTCAGTGATATCATTTGGATCTACGGATAGTCTTGCCTTTCCTGATCTTATTTGGTTGTTTGTGTGTGAAAAACCTGAAAGCTGTTTTGACGAGGTTCTGTATAAACTTTGTTCCAGTAACTTATATGATACACGTGGTTGTAATGTATCTTGGTGTTCTGGTTCTGAGAGATGATTATGGAATATGGAACTTGCATACTGAAATGGAAAATTTCGTCAGCAGAGATGATTATTCGCGTTGAAGCAAACTGCACACACATTTATTCTGGAATTTTGTCTCCATTGCACATAATTCCTGAAGAGAAACCAGAGAAGAAGGGCTTCTCTGGATATCACAAAGGAGAGTTATTACAGTACCATAGCTCGGTTCCGTTCATGGAGGAGCTTGTGGCCGCATCCTGAGACGGGGAGGAGCTTGTGGCCGCATCCTGAGACGGACGAAGACGATAACCGCGCTGGCGAGGATCCACGGCGAGAAGAGGGCTTTGACTACGCTCGACGACAGTAGCGACTCCGGCACCCCGTTGAAAGCCACCACCGCCATCAACGCCAGCACCAGCAGACCGACGACGATCATCGAGGCAGGCTTGGTCCACGACACCTGCACCTGCACGACGAGGAAAATCCAATCCGTCAAGTCCTTCTGCAATATCCCCACACCGCGAGGTGCAAAACGCAAAACGGGCAGGGATCAGCTCCATTACCTTGGGCTCGCCGTCGAGGGCGATGGCGGCGCCGTCGCGGAAGGGCACGGCGGAGTGGCCGGTCGCCGGGTCGGGCCGGATCCGGAGGCCGCGGCGGGAGACCCCCGGCTTGAAGGCGAAGAGGGCGCGGAGCTCGTGCTCTGCCTGGATGCCGCGCACGTCGAGGCGGTCGCGGCGAGGGCCCCTCAGGCCCGACCGGAAGACCTTGGGCGGGCCGGCGCCCCGCCGGTACAGACTCACCTCCACCGACGGGTCGCGGGGGCTCGCGGCTGGCTCGAGCAGCGGAGTGGTCAGCGACTCCTCCGCGGACGCGACGACCACCTCGTCGTCGGCCATGGCGTCTGCCTCGGACCCCGGTGCTAGTTTGGCTGTCGGTGCGCAGTGAACTGATGATGCTACTCTACACTAGCACTGTCTGTAGTTAACTTTGCGAAAATTTAAGCAATTTGAAACGAAGAAAGTAAACCACGTGAAAGCGTAGACCAATTTTGGAAACGTGCAAGTGTAAGCTCACATGAGGCTAATCAGTCAAAATTAAAACACATCAAGCAGTACCTTGCATTTGGCGATCTGGAAGCAGCTATGGGATTACAACCCTTTAAACGCAATTCTTGCTAAGAGCATCTCCAACAGCCGCGCTAAACAAGCGCCGGGCCGCAAATTTGCTCATTTTAACGCGCCGCAATCGGTAGAGTGTCTCAAGCAGGCGCGCAATAACCGCGCGCGTGGCATATAGAGTTGGGCGCGGTTTGAATCGTCATCGCGCCCTGCGTACTTGGGGCACCTGCTTCCGCGCGCGGCACACACGAGCGCTCGCGTCGCACTCTCTCCCCCGCGCCACCTTCGCCCCGCACGCGCCGGCGCCGGCGAGTTGACCCGATGGACGCACGAGCGCTTGTTGTTGGTGTTTGTTGTGCTAACTTGTTTTGTTTTCATGTAGTTAAATATTGCACAAAACTTGTTCAAAGGAGAGGAGAAGAGGACCAAGAAGGGGAAGATCAAGAAAGGAAGGTCATTTACCTTGCCTCGTTGCTATGAAGTATTGAAGGATGATGAAAAATGGAAGAAGCGTGAGGATATTGATGATTTGGATTTGAGCAAAAAACGCAAGCGAACAATTAATTTGAAAGATAATGATGAGGAGAATGCATCAAGTGAATATGGCAAGAGAAGCCCCACACCAAACTCGGTTTCATACTCAAAGCCAAAACGACCGGATGGCACGAAGAAAGACGCAAAAGAAAAGAAGAAGAGGAAAAAAAATGATGAGCTCAAAAATGCTATGGAAGCAATTGTCAACGCAAGAAAAGAAGCCAACGAGGTGAGGAAAATGGCAAGGAACCAAGATGCCGCGGCCGAGGAGAGGAAGTTGGCGATCGAGGAGAGGAGGGTGGCGGCCGAGGAGAGGAAAGTGGCATTGGAGGAGAGGAAGGTGGGCATGGAGGAGCGAGCTAAATTGTTGGAATGGGAGAAGCACGTGTTCTTCTTGGACACATCTTTGTTCAATAATGCACAAAAGAAGTATGTCAACCTTGCCCCCGAAGAAGTCTTGATCCAAAAAAGAGCCATGATTCGCACAATGGGTGACGGTGGCCTTGGCGGCATGGGTGGCGGTGAACTTGGTGGCATGGGTGGCGGTGGCCTTGGCGGCATGGGTGGCATTGGTTCAATGGGTGGTTTTGGAGCTACCATGGGCGGCATGGGTTCCATGGGTGGCTTTGGGGCTACCATGGAGATCATGGAAGGCATGAGTGGCTTTGGAGCACCTCCGGGAGGCTTGGACGGCATGGGTGGCATGGATGGCATGAGTTTTACGTCTCTTATTGGGGACATGGGTGCACCTCCGGGCGCCGATGTGCCACCTTCGCATGAAGATGCCATTGAACATCTTGGCAACACCTTTCGAGCTTCACGTGATGAGGATACGGCGCACAACAATGAAGAGGAGGAGAAAGAATCGTCTTCGGAGAAGTCGGATGAATCGGAGGAAGATGGGGATGAAGACGAAGACGAGGACGAGGCTTGATTGTTGTGCCTTTCGTTTGTTCATGAACTTGGTTTGCATTTTAAACTTGGTTGAATTATGTTGTGGGCATGAATTTGAACATGTGTGCATGAATTTTTGGCACGAACTTGGTTGAATGATGTTTGTGATTCAAATTATATGTCACGTGTTTTGTGTTTATGTGTGAAATTTATGCCCAAAATGAGAACAAATGTAGGCGCCGGCTGCTCGCGCGCGTTGCATTTTAGCGTGCTACAGGAGCTGCGTGCGTGCTGTATTTTGGCGCAGCTGCTGGAGCCAACGCTGCGCGACGCGCAAACCTGGCGATGGGCGCGCCGCAAACCAGATTTTAACGCGCCGCGTGTTGGGCGGTTGTTGAAGATGCTCTAATAAACATATTCCTATAAGTGATGGTTGTCCGATTTGTCACAAGGATGCTGAAGACACGAGTCACATGCTATTTCAGTGCGACTTAGCAAGCAAACTATGGGCTGGTTTGGGTCTCATTGATCACATAAACCATGATGTGCAAGTGGATCGATATGGATCAGCAGTGTTGGAATTCCTCCTCGTGGAACCGGACTCACCTTTGGAAATCATGCCAAGCTTAAATTACAAAGAGGTTATTGCTGCAGGCTGCTGGTACCTGTGGTGGCTACGGAGACGACATACACATCATGACTCATGTCCCTCGTCATTTAGGTGCACAGCTTCAGTTCTGGCTATTGTGGGTAACTGTGTTAAGTCCATTACCCAGAGGTGGGAATCGAACGAGCACAAATGAAAGAGGCCGGAGGCGAGATTCATTTGAATGCGGACACGTCCTATCATGAGGAGGAGGGAGTATGAGCTACTACTGCTATCATACGAGATGAAAAAGGCCGATTTATAGTGACACGGTGTAAGTTTATGCGTGACGGATTAAAATTGGTGAATAGATTGGGCTTTAACAGGGTGCAAGCGGAGTCTGACTCATTGAATGTCGTGAACTACTGTCAAGGACAACATCGATGGTCGGATGTAGCGGCGGCCATTTATGCAAAATGCATACACTCGGCGACTTCAATAGGAAAGGTCATCTTTACTCATTGTTTTCATGGGGCAAATATGACAGCTCACGAGCTAGCTAAATACAGTTATTGTAATAAGTGCGATGATAGTGAGGACGTGGGCATAGCCCAGTGGTTGGGGGCGCATGATTGTAAACCTAACGACCAGAGTTCGATCCACGTCGGGGACGAATTTCTGGAATTCTCATGAGGGATGCTTCTTCTATATCAATAAAACCGTGGGTGCTAGTGCCCATGGAGTTTCATTTTTTTTTAATAAGTGCGATGATAGTTGGACTAATGAATCTCTTGTGTTCTTAATTCGCGGGCAAGTGAATGATGTAATCGTTATTTGAATTAATAAAGCTAGCCAAGATAGCCTTTCCTCAAAAAATATTAAAACACGTTGCAGTCACTCTAGCTAGAAACTCTTCTCACTCGTCTCTTGCGCCTGTCTTCTGGCAGCGGCGATTTGTTCTCAAACCATAAACCCTGCCTCACTACTTCCCATAAGCGAGATCCCTTTGATTCGGTGCTAATCAAACCTGGAGCGGTGAATCCCACTCCAGATACGCGGCTCATCGCCATCCCAGCTGCTACCACCTTGTCCACCTTGTCCACCATGCCCACGGTGAGTATCCATGAGGCATGAACTTTGTTTCCTTGGAAGCAAGAACTTGCGTGTTGCAAGTTGTGATTGGCTTCTGAACTTCACAAATGGTAGAGTACATTCCCAATGAATTGGCTTCAGCCGTAGTAGCAAATCGTCGATCCTCTTCCCACTCTAGCAGTCTTGTTCATTCGTCTGTGGCCGACGGAAGGGCAAAGTATAATCAAGTTATTGTGTGTGTTATCTGTTGTGAAACCTTCGGGTCATCATGGCATATTCTACAGGTTGGGCTTTGCTCTCGTTTGATCTCATGAACCATGTCACCAACTGTCTCCTAGCTACTACATGGACCTCTACTCCATGTGCAACACCCGACACTGTGTCATCGATGACCCCAATAATAACACAAATCTCAGTTTCTTCCCAAAACAATGTATCATGATCAACGAGGTCGACTAGTTTTAACACCTTACGCGCTTTGGTGAACATAACCACATGTTGCGCCCTCCACAAGGACCTGTGAATACTACACAACTACTATGTCGCCACTACTACACAAGGTAGCCTTTTCATATTCATGGACAGGAAGTTGCCTCGCACGGCATGCATCCTCAACCCTTCCACTGATTACTTGTTTGTTTCACGGCGCCCATGATCACCGAGGAGATGGTTGCTACTTTTGTCATTGGTTATGTGATTTTGCCCACACTTTGGTTACTTCATGACTTTGTTTGTTGTTGGCAGTGTATATTTCAATATACGGGAGGACAAGCACACTTATCCTTATAAGAGGCCGAGTTTAATAGAAATTATGTGAGCAACGGTATCTTTGTTCAGACGAGTCTTTCTATGTTCATCCTTCCGAGACATTGGTTGTTCTTCCTAAGGATTTTTATGACCCGCTGAAACGAGGCATACATATCGTTGTTTTATTGTAGAATCTGCGTAAAGGATAGGATATCCGAAGCCATAAACACAATATGTTTTACCTTCCTTTTTCACGTTGAGCTTCCCTTTACAATTATCCAGTTCCTCTTCAACTACACCGTCGGTGCCCGGGAGTCTGGACTAGGAGTTCTAAAATGCCTTAAAGAGCTCCCTGATATCATTCTGAGCTTGAAGGATATTTTTCTTTCTTCTTACCCCAAGTATGTTGAATTCGATGACAGTTGAACTGTTGAATGGGCTATTCTTTGTGATTCTAATTACCCGTTTGAGGTATCAAACATGATATGGCTCCACTTCTTCATGTATTTTGTAATGCTCTCTAGCGCATGTGCACCTCCGTATCTCTTACTGATGCAGTTTTGTGTTTTTTGGCACAAGAAAAATGTTTGTATCACAATTTTTGTATCCACTTGCTAACATGTTCTTGCATTTGAACGTTCCATGTTTTTCAATCATTGTTTGTTTTTGTTTGTACTGAGTAAGTTCAAATTCTGAACACACATTTTGCTTACTCGTTTGCAGCAACCCGTGTCAAAAAAGGGTGGGTCGCAATCCAGTCCAATGCCACCTGTAATGCTCTATTGCACTTAGTGCTTACTTGTTGATGAATATGTCAACCTTGGAAATGAGCGAGCGGTTAACTTGCATTTCAATGAAAGCAAATCCATGCTTGGATGAGTATGACCTAACATGTGTATACATTTCTCTATAAGCAGAGCCATGT